ATAAAAATATGGCAAAATTTCGTGAATTTTCAGGGGATTTCGTAGCATAACGATGACATATAGCAATATTTCATTAGTAAAAGAGATTGATATGGTGTTTTTAAATGGCAATATATCAGCATATGAAGATATTGTGATATTTTAATGTATCAATATTTTTTCCCTTCATCTTTAGAAGTTTTTAAGTCTGTAAAAAAGAAGTTTTTGAGGAAGAAGAAGTAGTATTTTATTATTTTTTTTTTTTTAGACTTTAGAAACTGTTTATATTGTTTTTTCTTAACTTTATACTTTGTATAAACAACCAAAGTGGGTTGCTTATGAAATCAACAAAGTGCTACAGAGAAAATAAAATTTTATCTAATGAACACATTTTGAATTCTTGAAAAAATAACACAATGTCTGAATGTCTCTTTCAAATGCGAGTATGACGTTTATTTTGAGCGACGAAAAAACAATAACATATTAATTCTAATATGTCAAGATCACAATAATCTTCCAATTTATGACTAAAATATTAAAGAACTAACACAAATAAAATGCACTTAGTGTTTCCCGCAGGAATTAGCTTAGGCTTGGCGGGGGGGGGGGTCGAATTAAATACATAAAACTAAATCCTATCTTAATTTGTCAGAGCACACGAGGCAGATATTAATTTTCTATTATCAGTTTTAATTAACTACTTACCTTTTCAGATATAGTTCACCGATGATGATGACGATGAAGACGTCATCCCCCCCCCCCACACCTCTCCTCGGATGATCAAAGAAAATTACTCATCTGTTTACCTCGGGCACAGTACACTACGCCTTTTCCACCTAAAATTGCGTCTTAGCAACAAATGTCAAGTGACTGGCGGAGACCGATTCTGTTTTTTTACTGCCTGGGCCTGGAAATGAATTAAAACTTCGGGGTTTTTTATTTTTTTTATTTTTTATTTTGGAACGTTGGCGAGGCGGTAGCATGAGTTTGGCGAGGCCTCGCCAAACTCATGCTACCGCCTCGCCAAGATAGTGCTGCGGGAAACACTGACTTAAATTAAATACTTAGTTTTTTTTAGTAATTTATTTTCCCAAGCCACTCAGAGCCGCAGTTTAAGAATGAAAGAGCCGCATGCGGCTCCAGAGCCGCGGGTTGCCGACCCCTGCACTAGACTAACTAATTGCTAACATGGCTTTACATGGGTTAAGCTAGTAAAGTTCACCGTGTAGCCGAGCTAACCGTGGTGGAAGATATTGATTGGTAACGAATTATGCCTACCTTGATTAATTCCAGCTACAACCGAACAATGTACACATAGTTATATTTCTCGTGAAATACGTGTAAGTTCAGAAATTACACCACATTTATCCCGGCGAAAAAGAAAGCATTTACTGGGATACCCACATTTAGGTGGGACTTTCAGCTTGCTAACCAGGTGACATTAACTCAGTCTTTTGCATTAATACAATTGTAGGCTTGTTAAGACACGTTTACATCAGCTTAGTTTAGTACTTACCGCAGGTTTATTCTTTGATGACGTGCTAGGACGTTAATCATTCCTTCTTCCCCATGCCAAAATGGACGAAGCTCTCCAAGCACTTCTCCCCAACTTCTTCTCACGTGACTCAGATTGAGTCACGTGACTCAATCACGTTTTGAGAGGAACCAAAATATTTGCTTTCTTCCCTTCAGAATTGTTATTAATTCAGTCTGAATCAAAATTGACACCTCAGAATGCAAAAAAATAGACTTTCACAACCAAGTCAATTATTTTACATTGTATTCAATGGTAGTTATTAGCTTGAATGAACAACTCTGTGCTACACTTTTTCCAGTGTAAATTTGGTTTAACCAAAGGGCAGAAGGTTCAGAAGATGCAAGGACGTAGATTTGATCTAAACCTTGGTAGGGACAGTATTGATCTTAAGTTGAATTGGTCTGATGTAATTGGTCCTACTCATTATGCATGCTCCTATTGTCACAGTCTTGGTTTTGTTATGTTTATTTAGAGTATTCAGTTTTACTTTGCTCCTTGTTTTAGTGTTTAATTATTATTTTGTTGTTTTCTTGTTAGTTCCTGTCTTCCAGGTTTTCCATTTGTTCTCCTCTGCTGCCCTCTTGTGTCCTCTATCCCTAGCTCTGTTTTCTGCTCTGTCCTCACCTGTTTCCAATCCTCTCGTTAGCCCTCTCTTTGTCTCTGTCCCCTTTAAAAGCCCTCCCTCTTCAGTTCCTGTTTGCTGGATCCTCGTCTAACGTCCGTCTGCTTACCTCGTCTCTCCCTGGCTCCTAGAGTTTGGTTTCCCCAGATGTCTCCTTGGTTCTGGTTTGTTTGTTATTTTTGTTGGATTTTTTGATTCCTGCCTCTGTACCTGTGGACCTCATTAAACCCACCTAAATTCACCTCTGCCTACTTGCCTCTGCTTTTGGGTCCTCAATCCAACACCAAATCGTGACACCTATTTTTTTTTTATGCTTGACGTGAGCATCAGGGCACATTTCATTTAACGAGAAAACAGGATTTTTTTCACTACATTTATACAAATTTTATTAGCAGTTGTGAGAAAAGAAGTGACTGCTGCAACCACACTGAATTGTAAACTATAAACATGTTATTCAAATAGAATTATTGGTAGGGACAAGTAGGTTGGTGCCAAAATGTTGGTAGGGACATGTCCCAATGATCCCTATGCAAACCTACACCCATGAGAAGATGCCCAAACCACACAAAAAGATCTGATGTATGTTTACACAATCATAATAAGGGTTTTATAATCTTTGTGCTTGTGTTTTTTCAAATTACTGCATTGCATAAAATTGTTGTTTTGAGGTCTCCCTTATCAGTTTCAAATGCAGTCAGTGCTGTCATGATCTGGCCTGATTGCTCCACCTTAATTGGTTATTTCTTTCACCTGCCGTTTTCCCTCCCTGTCGTAATTATCATTTATTCCTCTCACCTGTTTCCTTTGTTTTATATTCTGTTCAGCCTGAGCATTCGGGGCCAGATCAGTATATTTTGTTTTCTGTTCAGTCTGTCTGTTCTGTTTATTCCACAGTTCTTGTCCCAGATCCTGTTTTTTGTGTCTGTCTCGTCTCCTAATCATCCGCTGTTCCTCCCCTGCTGAGTTCTCAGGGTTCTGGCTCTATACACGGGGAGAATCAGTTTTTATTCCAGTAAGCCTGGCTCCAGACTGGAGACCAGTTTAAAGGTCCTGCATCAAGTTCTGGTTCCACGTCCTGTCTCTGCTACCCTCTACCACTAAGCCTGCTCATCTGCACCTGATCCTGTCTGCTCCTGTGTGGTCCGCCTGGTCAACCTTCTTGACTCTGAACCTGCATTGGAGCCCTAGGATGTCCTAGGATGCCTGAATCCTGCCACTTGTCTGCTCCTGCCTGATCTGTATCCCTGCCCAGGATCGGCTCAAGTCCAGGACTGCAGCACCGGGGACACTCTGGGTGACGTCAGTCGCCCGCCAATCGGCTGGATCG